TCCACTAAACCTGGTTCCATAAACCACTGGTTCCACCTTAAACACTGGTTCCACTAAACACTGGGTTTCCACTACAAACACTGGTTCCAACTTAAAAACACTTCTGTTCCACTTGAACACTTCTTCCACCTAAACCCACTGGTTCCAGCTAAACACTGGTTTCACAGTAAACACTGGTTCACTAAACACTGGTTTCCAGTAACACTCTGGTTTTCCCAAACCACGGTGGATCCAACCAAACACTGGTTTCCAGTAACAACTGGTTCCACTAAAACCTGGTTTCCAGTAAACACCTGTTCCACCTAAACACCTGGTTTCCACCTAAACACTGGTTTCACTAACACCTGTTCCACTAAACACTGGTTCGCAGTAACTGGTCCACTAAAACTGGTTTTCCCTAAACACTGGTTTCCACTAAACAACTTGGTTCAGTTAACAAACTGGTTCCACTTAAACACTGGTTTCCACTAAACACTGGTTTCCACTAACCACGTGGTTCCACTGAGGTTGTCAAAGTGAAGATAGATTGATACTGGAAGAGGAGCGACAGTGAAGGAAGGAGCGACAAAGTGAAGGAGGAGCCGACAGTGAAAGGAGGGAGCGACAGTGAAGGAAGGAGTGAATACTGAGGAGAGCGAAGTGAAGGAGGAGCGATACTGAGGAGGAGCGATACCTGAGGGAGGAGCGATGACTGAAGGATGGAGTGGATACTGAGGGAGGAGCGATACCCTGAAGGAGGAGTGAATTACAAATGAAGGAAGGAGTGGATATGAGAAGGGCGTGATACTGAGGAAGGAAACTTCTTCTCCACCCTCATATGCTCCACAGCAGCAAGAGGAGTAAACAGTGACAGGAGCGCTCACTCTGAAGGAGAAATCGAGAAGCAGAAAACTTGTTTCTTGCAAACATTAAAACTTACAGACATTTTCAAAATCGCTGAAAAATAAAACAAAAACAGGTTGAAAACAGCAATTAAAACCATTTGTACATTTAAATTCGATCAAAATATTAAAAACAAACTTTATCTCAGGTCAAGGCGATATGGGGCTTAAATTATCTTCAATATTTATAAGATTGATTAATATTTTATATCTTATCTACAGGTGTTGAAAAATCAATGTATGTAAATATCATAAAACATTAGTAAATATAAAAACCTAATTTGATCCATGATTGCCGAACCTTTGATTTAAAATCAATCAAACGCATCAAATAAAAAATTACAACAAAATATTCAGTTCAGACAAAATCACAGAATCAAAACCTTGAAAAAAACACCATGAGTAGAAAACAACGACAAAATAAACAAAAATCACCAGGCTGATGGCAGAAAAAATACATTTTCTTTAAAAAACTCCAGAAATAAAACAGCTGATGGAGAAAGTACACAGGTAACTGGCAGGTAAGTACTTAGATACTAATACTAATAATACTAACTAATACTGATATTTAAATAATACTACTACTGAATACTGAATAATACTAACTTACTACACTGATAACTAATACTAATAATAAAACTACTACCTGATAACTAATAATATTTATTCCTTCAGGTGTTTGCAGCAAGTTTGTTGAAGGTTTATACTACTACCTGATACAATAATACTACTGACTACTACTGGATACTAATACTAATAATACTTACTACTGGATAATACCCTGGATATTTAAACAATACTACTACTGGATACTTTAATAATACTACTGAACTAATCCCTAAATAATACTCTACTGGATACATACTAACTCACTACTACTAAGTAAATACTACTGGATACTAATACCTATGATACTAATACTAATGATACTAATACCTAATAATACTCCACTACTACCTGATACTACTACTACTACTAAATAATAATACACTTGATATAATACTACTACTACTACAACTGAACTTATACTAATAATACTGACTACTGATATAATACTACTACTACTAATAACATAATACTATCTAACTACTATGAATAACTAAATACTACTACTACTACTAAATTAAATATAACTACTACTACTACTGATATAATACTAATAATACTACTACTGATAACTAATACTGAATATTAAACAATCTAACTACTGGATAACCTATTAATACCCTACTGTACTAAATACTAATAATACTACTACCTTGATACTAAAACTACCTATAACTACTGACTACTACCAATATAATATTAACTGAATAACTGAAATACTAATAATATCTACTACTGATACTATACTAATAATACTAGGTACTGATACTATCAATCTACTCTGATACTAATTAATACTAACTAACTACTACTACTGATAACTAATATAATAAAATACTACTAATACTAAAAATACTACTACTTGATACTAATACTACTACTGATTATAATATAAAATACTACTACTAATACTAAAAATACTACTTACTACTATGAACCAGTGTTAAGTGGAACCAGTTTTAGTGGGGATATGATACAACGCTCCATCTTTGTCGCTCACTCTCTTGCTCTCCCTCTCTCTCTCGCTCACATGCTCTGGTCAGCGCCACAAACTGGCCAGAACACGTGTGTGTGTGTGTGTAATATATCCGAGAGCTGATTGGTCTCTTGGACGGTGAGTGAAAGCTGTTGACAGGAGGTCTCACTCTGATGAAATGTGTTTGTTGAGGAGAATGTTATGAAGACAGAAGATGTCCACAATGTGTGGCTGCGGCTGTAACACACAGTTTGTTATTTTATTTTGTTGTTGTTTTTTTTGTTTGTGTTTCTCTAGGCCACAGTTTAGGTTACGGCTTTGTTAACTTTGTTAACCCTAGTGATGCAGAGAGGGCTATCAGTACCCTCAATGGCCTGAGGCTACAGTCTAAAACTATCAAGGTAAAGTGCCACAGGTGCTCTTTGATTTTCCTGTCTCAACTGATGTGTTATGTTCCCTGGACAGTAGAGGGCGCTCTCTCCTGCAAACTGTCTGATGGATGAAGGTATTTTTTTCAAACTCTGCTGTCACCTTGTTCAATCATTTTGAATATCGACACGTGTTGACACCGAATCTGTGACTTTCTTCAGTTCAGTGTGACACCGTGCCGAACTTTTATTTTCATAAATTTATGTTTTTATTTTGACAGAGCCTAATGATCTGAGCCTGTTTGGATGCAAATATTTTGTCTTTTGTTTCTCTTTTGTTTGGGACAATTCTGGATAAGTGTTGTTTTTGTTTACATTGAATATTTAAACTTTTAAAATAACTCTGGATTTTATTTAACGACTGATGTAACTTTATTTTATTTTGTTGATTTGAATTCTTTCTGGTCGCATTGACGCTGGACTGAGACACTTCCTGTTTCCACTCGCAGGTTTCCTTCGCGCGGCCGAGTTCCGACATGATCAAAGACGCAAATCTGTACATAAGTGGGCTACCACGGACGCTGAGTCAGCAGGACCTGGAGGACATGTTCACTCGCTTCGGACACATCATCAACTCCAGAGTGCTGGTGGACCAGGCCTCCGGTAATGCACATGCTCAGTAACCACAGTGTCACCTGACCAATCACAGCCCTTCAGTGCTGATACATCTAACCTTCCATCTTATTGGCTCTAGGTCTCTCACGGGGCGTGGCCTTCATCCGGTTTGATAAGAGGTCTGAGGCAGAGGACGCCGTCAAACACCTGAACGGGCACACGCCCCCCGGCAGCTCTGAGCCAATCACAGTTAAGTTTGCTGCCAACCCAAATCAAGCCAGGAACTCCCAGATGATGTCACAGATGTACCACGGCCAATCACGGCGCTTTGGAGGACCCGTCCATCACCAGGCCCAGAGGTTCAGGTATGCTCACCTGTTGGCGCTGTCCACTGTAACAGATTACTGCCCTCTTGTAATCAGATTACTAATCCAGCCCTAATGGTCACCTTGTAGGTTTTCTCCAATGAGCGTGGACCACATGGGCAGCGGGGGTGGAGTCTCCGGGAACTCGTCCAGCGGTTGGTGCATCTTTATCTACAACCTGGGTCAGGACGCAGACGAGGCCATCCTGTGGCAGATGTTCGGGCCATTCGGCGCCGTAGTCAATGTGAAAGTCATCCGAGACTTCAACACCAACAAGTGCAAAGGCTTCGGCTTTGTTACCATGACGAATTACGAGGAGGCTGCCATGGCGATCCACAGCCTGAACGGGTACCGACTGGGAGACAAGGTCCTGCAGGTGTCCTTCAAGACCAGCAAGGGACACAAGTAGAGCGAGGAGGAGAAGTGAGAGAGGAGGAGGAGAGTGAGAGGAGGAGGAGAAGAATAAGAGGACGACAAGTCAAAAATATTTTCAGTTTCCAGGAAGTTGCATTTGTGTCAGTGTTTTTTTCTTTTTTTTCCCAGCATGCCCGGTTTCTTTCAAGCTGTGTGACGTCACTTGTTGCCGTGAGTGTTGAAATTATCAGAGGTTTTAACGTCTGTACCAGAAGTCAGAATTTAAGTTCTTCACTCAGCTTTGTATTTTTCAGTTTTCATTAATTAATATAAATAAAATTTGATTATTGGATAAAAACAAAGTTTGTTCATGTCAAAGAATCTCTGTCATCAGTGTTAGGTGATTGAAAGCTCTCTGGCCCAATAAGCACACAGGAGGCGGGGCTTAAACCGAACAGGAAGTGAAACTGATCTTTTTTTTCATTTGTATTTTTTATTGCAGCTTCATTGTGATGTTGGATTGTTTATTCAATAATAAATCTGTTTATGGAAAACTTCTCATGTCTGTTCACTGAGAAATATTTAATGAATATAACAAGTTAAAGCTTTGTTTGTTGTGGTGTTGAACCCGTCCTGATGGCTGTTGCACAAAACTTAAATTAAATTCTGGATTAGTTGTGATTTTTCAGTTATTTTGCATGATCCAGACCCTGGATTCATACTAAATGTGTCAGGCTGTGGACTTAGTCTCTGACGCTAAAAGTGAAGACCTTCCGTTCTTGAGTTATTCGACCGAACGTGCGTCTATTCAGTGTTAATTGAGCGATCCTATGTTGAAAAAATAGTGTCACACCTAGTATGGACTTTTCCGAAAGTGTCCAGGAGCACATTTCAGCCATCTTGGCTGAGAGTCACTATTTCTTTCTATCAAAAAATAAAAAAAGCAAACAACTAAAGGCGTTTTCAATATGAAAGCATAATTCCCACAAAATAAAACTTTTTTTAACAAGAAAATAAAAAATAAAAGCAATCAAATAAAATTGTGTGCCAATAAAATCAATAAAACAAATGCAACGTTTCGACCCTAATGGGTCTTCCTCAGGTTGGCACACAAAGACTATCAAATGTCCAGAAAACGATGTGGGCTTCATTGATAACTGGCAGCCTTTTTGGGGAAAACCTGGTCTGATTAGGAGAGACGGCATCCATCCCACTTTGGATGGAGCCGCTCTCTTATCCAGGAATATGACAAAGTTTATAAATCCTGACAGTCAGAGCTTTTGGAGACCAGGAAGCAGAGTTGCTGCTCTTACACACTTCCTCTGCTCTTCCACGGGAGTACGCCAGTCACCCACCCCAAACAAAACCCGCATAGCAGATGTGTTGTTCCCGCGACCACCGCCGTTGACAATTATTTAAAGAAATAAAAACACGAGGAGTCTAGAACAGTGAAAGATCTACATTAACAGCAAGAGTTAAAACTAACTCCTCCAGTACGCACAACATACAAGAATGAAATGTGGACTGTTAAAGTATCAGGTCTCCTGTCCTCGTAAAGCTGTGCTTTAGTGAATCGAATTCAACTATCAGCATATT